CCAGGTTAGGGTTAGGGTTGGAAAAACGGGGTGTCCCGGCATGGTTCTGATGGTTGGAATGTGTTCAGAATGGGCAGGAATGATGAGCTGCGCAGAAAAGCTACTCAAGGAGGGCTTTTTGAAAATCGCCCTCTTTTCCATGGAACTTTACCCTTACATTATGGTTAGGGGTGTGCACCAGGTTAGGGTTAGGGTTGGAAAAACGAGGTGTCCCGGCATGGTTCTGAGGTTAGAATGTGTTCAGAATGGGCAGGAATGATGAGCTGCGCAGAAAAAGCTACTCAAGGAGGGCTTTTTGAAAATCGCCCTCTTTTCCATGGAACTTTACCCTTATATCAGGGTTAGGGGTGTGCCCCAGGTTAGGGTTAGGGTTGGAAAAACGAGGTGTCCCGGCATGGTTCTGATGGTTGGAACGTGTTCAGAATGGGCAGAAATGATGAGCCGCGCAGAAAACGCTACTCAAGGAGGGCTTTTTGAAAATCGCCCTCTTTTCCATGGAACTTTATCCCTGTATTAGGTTTCGGGCTGTGCACCAGAGTAGGTTTAGACCCATTGTCGTTAGCCTATGCCTTTGGTACACTTTTCCCATCAGGGACTCAATGCCCTATGTCTGCATGCGATCCAAGTCGCCCCAGCATCACCCTGGCAGCCAAGCATCAGATAACATCGCACATAGCGGCTATGCGCATTCTCAGAAAGGAGTAGTGGCACCAGTTGGTGATGTCATGAACTTAGCTCATTAGTTGCGACTCGTCCGAGCTTTCTCATGGCTGATCCGTGTACTGCCAGAGATATATGCATATATTTGCTTGGACAAGCATTGAGGTTTTTTTCTAAAGTAAAAGCTCAGTTTTCAGGTTTTATTGCAATGTTGGTATTTGCGAAAAATAAATGGGTTTTGGTTTGCAGTTCGGGCACTTGGTCTCTAAAAGGTTTGCCATCAGTGGCCTAGCATCCTAAAAACTCAACTAATAACAAAATCCCATTTGAAACATTCGGGTCTTAAAACTTTAATTGGTTCAAAATAGAGCTGCCAGGTTGCTGACGGGGACGGAGCGTTATGTTCACATGACTCCAGTTCTCCGACAGCTTCACTGGCTTCCCATTGAAGTCCGGGCCCAATTCAAGGTGTTGGTTATGACCTATAAAGCCCTAAACGGCTTGGGACCTGGTTACCTGAAGGAGCGCTTTCATCTATATATGCCCAGTCGCCCCCTGAGATCGGCGGGAGAGGCCCTTCTCCGGGAACCCTCCGTGAAAGAAATTAGGAGGGTAGGTACTCGGAGGAGGGCTTTCTCTGCGGTGGCGCCCAATCTATGGAATGTGCTCCCCAGAGAGGTCCGCCTGGCGCTGTCGTTATTTGTTTTTCGGCGCCAGGTGAAGACCTTTTTATTTAAATGTCATTTTAATTGTTAACAATTTACTTATTTATCTGGCCAGGGCGACTTCTTTTTCCTTTCTTTTATAACTTTCCTTTTCTTTTATAACTTTTCTTTTAGAACTTCTTTTATATCATTTATATTTTTTATTTATTTTATATTATTAATTTTAATTTTATATTATTTTTATATTGTATTGTATTTTATTGTGTTGTAAGCCGCCCCGAGGCTTCGGCAAGAGGCGGCATAGAAATGTTCTAATAATAATAATAATAATAATAATAATAATAATAATAATAATAATAATAAAAAGCATTTAAAGAATATAAAATTAAAAAACACTGGAAATGCTCTCTCTCTGCAGTGTGTTAACAGCACTGCTTAAACTCCTGTTTGGCATTAAGGCACGTGGTTCACATCCGAGGCCCTCAGGTCAAAGCCGACCCATCTGGGGCTCTCTTTGGCCTTTCCTGGCTGGCTGCACCCTCTTCCTTTTTGCAACCCCCATCCCAACCTTTAATATTTTCCTGACTTTTTCAGGCACTTCCCCTCCAAATTCTAAAAGTTTAAGTGTTGCTTTCAAGGCTTAGTTGCTCGTCACATAAAACAGGCTAGCATTTTAGACCCTCTCCTCTTACTTTTGGTCCTGCCCATGAGTGGGATGTGGTTCCTGGGGCCTTCCCTGCGATGGAATTCGGCCCTCGGGTTCAAAGGGGTTCAAAGAGGTTCAGCACCCCTGATTTAAGCCATTTCCAGATCACTCGGTGCGGCAGGGCAGGACGGGGAGCGTGTGACTCCCTGCCTCTTCTGTTCCAGATGAACAATGGGAAACGGCTGGCCACCTGTGCGCTCCGGCCGACTGGCATCTACGGGGAGAACCATCCACTGATGAAGGAGTTCTATGAGAATGGGCTCCGTACGAAGAGGTGCATGATCCGAGCTATTCCAGCCTCCACCGAACACGGCAGGGTCTATGTGGGTGAGTTACATGGTTCAGCTCTACCATTCTTGGGCCCTCCCCGCTCCGAAAATCCACCCCAGACTTTAGACACCCTTTACTTTTGATTCAGTGCCCCTGTGCCCTGTTGTGTATATCCGTGCTTGAAAACGAAGAGAACAAAATCTTTCTGAGTCTTTCTTCTCTTGCTGCTTGGCATACTGTGAAAGTTAAGCAACCACATCAGGGCTTCCATATTAAATTTAAGCAACAGGCCAATTAAATGTCATTCCAAAATCAACAGTCAATTATGAAGGCAGGGTTTCATATTAACTGGAAACACTACTGGAAGTATTTTTATGGAAACAAGATCGCAACTCCCAAACTGATTTCCTTTTTACAGGGTAATTCTTTACTGTGTTTTAAATTTGTTAAGGCTTCTTTGATTTTATGGTGTTTGTACTGTATTTTATTGTTTTGTTTGTATGGATTGTTGTTAACTACCCAGAGAGTTTCACCTATGGGGTGGTAGAGAAATTATGCTGCTGCTCATTTGTTTGCTAACCTCTTCAAAGGGGTGAGCCGTTCAGGAGTAAGAAGTGGGTGTGTGGGTGTGTTTCCCCCCACATCTGCAGAATGGTGTATTTTTTGGGAGCTAGGAAAGATCCTTTTGGTCCTAATTAATCTCTTTTTAAAGTCCTTATTTGCAAAGTGAAGAAACAGCAGCTTTAGCAAATACACCATCTAGCACATGCTGCAATACGCACAAATGTGCTTGGATCAAGCCACAAATGTGCGAGGCACAAATGCAGGAATCTTCCATCAGCCCAAAGCACTCTGCTTTGTGTTGCACACTGATGACTCAGTAATGTTTACATCTTTCTCTCTTTCCATAAAAGTCATGTAACAAGACAAAGTGAAGCTTACTTTGTTTTTCCTTCTGCCTCTGAGCTGTCTATGTCCATCGATGCTTCTGCATCTATTTTTGGCTCCTTTTTCCAATCCCGTTCCCATTTTCCAAGCATTTCTCCTCCTCTTCTCTCCCCACTGCAGGCAATGTGGCTTGGATGCACCTGCTGGTGGCCCGAAAGATGCAGGAGTCAGCTGCAGCCATCGGGGGCCAGGTTTACTTCTGCTACGATGACTCCCCATACAAGAGCTACGAGGACTTCAACATGGAGATGCTGCGCCCCTGCGGCTTCCGCCTCCTGGGCTCCCGGCCCCTCATGCCCTTCTTCCTGCTCCAGCTGATAGCTCTTTTCAACAGTGTCCTGCGCTGGTTGCTGAAGCCCTTCTGCACCTACGCCCCCATCCTCAACCCCTACACCCTGGCCATAGCCAGCACCACTTTCACCATTCAGACAGACAAGGCCCAGCAGCACTTCGGCTACCGGCCCTGCTACACCTGGGAGGAGAGCCGGAAGCGCACCGTCCAGTGGCTCCAGGAGATCGACGCCCGGAGGCAAGCTGGGAAGTAGAGCCCAGTCAGGGACAAAGGGCAGGACATTCGGGTCAGGGAGAGGCCTCTCAAAGCAATTCAAGGGTGGGTCTTGCCACTGCCGGGACCCTTTTCTGCTTATTTGCAGAACGGGGCCCTGGTGTCATCTCAGACAGCTCCGGATCTTGTTTTTCTGTTGTGACTGAACCGCTATGAATCACCTACATTTTGCCCATTTATAGCACTTAAAGTCTGCTGAGCTCTTTACAGCAGTAGAAGAATGCAAAAGCCAAAAAAGGGGAGAAATGGTGGATTTGGGGGATCCAGCACCAACGAAAACCGTTTTGGATGCTGTCAGAGTGCATCAGAGAACACTTCAGTTCCCGGAGTACTGTGCTTTTTCTGCCAAGGTTTTGGTCCATTTTTAGAACGATGGCGATTTTGCTTGAGTACGATGCACATTCCAAATCCTCTCTGGTGGGAAGCGCCCACTTCCGCTTCTTAGTCCCCGCCAGTGCCGTTTTGGCAAGCTTTGATCTTGCATGCTACAGACCAGTGGGATGGGGAATGCGGGGGGGGGGGGGGAGGGAGTATGCGATTTCCTTGCATCCTTCCTTACAGCAACAGGGAATCCCCTTCACTACTGTACAATTCCAATATTTTCCTTCCTACCTCAGTGACCACTACACCACTGATTTCAGTGAAATTAGGAGCTGACTGAGTGTTCTAATTTAATCTAAGCAATGGCAAGTCATCTGAGTGGGCGAAGTGACTTCATTTATTATGACCAAAGTCATGCTGCACCAGCTCTCTGGGAAATGCTTTTATTGTCAAGATATTTTCTTTTCGTCACTTTTGGGGCAGGGGAGGGGGCTGGGCTGGGCTTGTGCAATAAAGCTGGAACGTCTAGCATGACAAATAACTTGACGAGGTTTAGAATCTATTATTTTTACTACTTTTTCTGCAAAGCCGGGAAGATGAGGCATTAATCTTGCTCGCCTTATACACGGGGGGAGTCTAGGGCTTAACAGGTGGTGCCTGGAAGGTTGGGGAGTGGAGAAAAGAGGGGCCAGAGCTGAATGGTGCTTGGGAGGAAGCTGTGGATGATGGTTGGCTATTGGTGGGAGATGTTCAACTGTGCCTGAAGGCCTCTGGCAGACCCTGATGAATGTGAAGAGCAGATAATTCAAGGCCCTTTGCTTGATGGTGTCGTTCTTTCCCTTCAATATCGGGACATAGGCTAATTTGGGTTAGGGTCCAAAAGTCAGGCAGTTGCATTGATCTGCATCAAGACCACCACTTCATGTCCACCAGAATCAGGTCTGTGGTAAGACTTCTGGATGCAAATGGCGCCTTTCAGATCAAGCCACCCCAAAACACTTTGCATTACGGGGAATCCATTTTCCCGCCAGTTTCTGTGACGATTGGCACTCAGCTTGGAGGGGACAGGCGAGCCGGCAAGGACGGCAGGTGGCATCATCGTCCTGTCGTTCAGCTAGTCGTGGAAGCTGACGCTGGATGCTCCAGCTGCACCTGGGGTTGGACGCTGGGAAAGAGGTAAATCCCCCGAACACTTCGCTGCAGTTTTGAGACCGGGTTGGGCAACCTTGGCCAGAGCTCTTGCAGTATCTTTTTAGATTATCAGTCTTGAATTTTGAATGAAAGGCAAAGGTTCAACCCTTACACAGGTTGGTAGAGTTACAAAGATGCAGAAAATGGCAAAGAAACCAAGAATACCTTCTGTAGGAGGAAAGGGGTAGTTGGACATACTTTAGGATTTTTTAAGGTGATTTGGGGGAGGGGGTTGTGATGAAGAGGTAAAGAATTCTGCATGCTCTGTAGAAAGGGAATAGAGGGGCTTTCCTCCCTCCTGTGTAACACTGCAATTAGGGGTGCTTCCTGCTGTTTGGCAGGCAATTTGGCACAAACAAAATGATGTCTTTTGCAGTGCATTAATGAACTTTGTTGCTGGAAGACGCAACTGCCACTGCCTTAGCTCGCTTGTGAAAGAGAAGAGACAAATTCATGGAGGATCCGGCAGTGCTCAGCTACTGGGCTGATGGCCATTTGCAGCTCGCAGGTCCAGGGGCGGAGTGTGCCACCGATGTCACACCCTGGTTCTGGGCTTTGCAAAGGCTTCTGGCTGGTCATTGTGGGAAACGGGATGATGGGCTAGAGGGGTTTCTGATGTGCTCCAGTGAGTGCCTACAGTCCAAGCAATAACAGGCTGAGTTTGTATGACTGGGGGAAGGAAAGAAGTCTGGGTGTGCTGTGTATGCCTGCAGTGGCACAAGGGTTGTCACATCCAACCGCCCAGGTGGGTGGCAGGGACGGTTCCCAAACGACCCCATAATCCACGACTACCTCTAGAGTTCCCAGATTGTTGAGAAACCACTTGCACCGGGTTCAGGCAACTTGAGTGTGGTGCACATGATGTTGGAAATGAGGTGGTACATAACCAACAGATGCGAGGTGGAGAAAAGAGTCCCCTGCGGTTTCTTTCCCTTCTCCGATCAGCCAAATATATTGATTCCTTTGAGTTTGTTTTATGCAAATAAATATATATTGAACTATAGATGTTGCTGTGTCATGTTTTCTTGCAGGCTGTCACAGTAGAGCAAAGCATCGGGTTCAACAGGTCCAAAAAGGGAAATGGAGGGCTGCTAGGTATTGGCACAAAGAGCTGCGTTTTCATACTGCACAAAGATCCTTTCTTTCCTCAGGAGGCCACCTCTGGATCCAGCTGTTGTTGGAAGCAAGAGCAGACAGGGAAGGTGGGGGAACATCTGGCAGGGCTTGGCTTCCTCCCCTGGCTTTGCTCCTTGTGGCCGGGGTACAGATCCCCTGGCTTGGAAGCCCAATCCGGCCCACCAGGGCTCCCAGTCCAGCACATGGGTTTCCCATTCGACCGGACACCTCCCCCTTTCTGCCACTAGCTGGAAGGTGTCCCAGCCGCTGCAGCTTTTGCCTGGCCACTTTCAGGGCATAATTACTGGCAAGAAGGTCTTTCAGTTAAAGCATGTTGAATATTTCTGGCACTTCCTCCCTACCTGTTGGCTGCACACCTTTTTCCTTCTGCCCTGCCCGCCAGCAACATTCTGAGAGCTTCTCCAAAATGGAATTCAACCCTTGAACTGAAAAGATTCAACACCCCAAAGATAAACAGAATCAAGGTGCAGGATGATGCCTTGCTCTGTTTGGAAAGCACCTGGAGCAGGCAGGTGCGGAAGCTGTCATGACACACTGCTCAGCGGGTCACCTGGTGACTGTGCAGTGGAAGAATGCAAGGTAATTACCAGTCGTGCCTTAGCTTCGCAAGCCTCCATCCTCTTCCTTGTGCAGGCTCAACAGTTTACATCACCAGTAGCTTTACCTAACATTTGGGCCGAATGCCAGGAGTCACTCCTTTCGATCCATCATCACGTCCCAGCACCCACCTCCTGTGAAGAGGGAGAAATGTGCAGGCATGACGCTCCTCGCGGGGTCATTCCTGCATCCCAGGTCTCCATGTGGGTGGAACTGGCCAAAAGTCGCACATGCCCATGAAGGGGATCTCTGCAACGCACACGGAAATACTCTGGCTGTGACGGATTATAATGCAGCCGTAATTTCTAGAAAGATTTCAGATGAATGTCACGCCCCCTTTTCCATGAATAGGTGACTGTGCACATACCTGATGACTCCCTTGCTGACCTTGGTGAGTCTTGCCTGGGCTTGGAGAAGGAGGATATTCCCATAGACAGAAAATGCCTGCACTGAAATGGGAAGCCGGTGGCGGCTTGCAGGCCCTGCGTCTGGATCAAGGTCGGCAAGGCGCCCGTGGAGCCCATGCATGGTGTTCCACGGAACACACGAACCCTCCAGCTGCCTCCTTGTTTAATGGACCCCGGGTACAATCCAGCGCATGTTGAGGCAGGAAAAGGGTCCTGCAACCCTTAGCGTGCCTGATCCAGCCATGGCTTTTTTCTGGCTCAAGATGCATCAGATTCTGCCCTTATTTTTCTTACTTTATAAGAGAAGTCGGGCCTCAGGGTTCGTCCATCTTTGCCTCCCATGAATGCCTCTAATGGGACTCGGGTACATTCTTGGAGCACTCAGACGGCGAGCAGTCGCCACACTTCCCTTGGCATCATGCCCAGCCAGCAAGAAAACAACCCAGAGACTCTCCTGCTACTCCTGACTGATGAAGGGGTAGGCAGGGAGGCTAGGAGGGGCAGCAGGAGGCTGGCGGGCTCGCGAGACCAGCTGGGTGCCACCCGGAGTTGTGCTTGGGTGTCCCAAAGGGTGGGGCCATGTGAGTGAAGAGGAGGGAGGATGCAAGGGCTTGAGGGAGGTTTGGGAGGGACTGATGAGGGAAGGGGGGAAAGGAGCTGGCTGGAAGCAGGGGCGGGTGGGGGCCAGTGTGCCTTCGGCAGGCATTTCTCGTTAGAGTTTAATCCAGGCCTGTGTGTGCTGCAGTTCCCCAGGAATCCAGGGCAAGGCCTTTGAGCACGGAGCCCTCCGTGGGCAAAGGACCCGCGTATGAAGGGGCACCTCCCGCCCTCCTCTTCCCCCTGCTCTCCACCACCAATGCCTGGCCCAGAGCAGGAACCGGCGAGGAGCAGGCTGTGGTGGTGCCCAAAAGCAGCAACTCTGGGGGCTCTTGCCAGGGGCCCCTGCTGGCCCCCAGGTTCTGGGCAGATGCCCAACCATGCCTACAGCTGCTGCCGGTCCTGATGTGGAAAACAACACAGGCTCAGAATTCATTTGCCCAGAACCTGCTTTCACGTTCCAAAGGCTCCTAGGCGTTACTGGTTGTGGAGATACCGAACGTGTGAAGTCTTGGGCGCTTGACCTGGATGGACAGCATGTTCTGTCGTTGGCAGGGCCCGGGCTGGGCACCCTTCAGACGGGAGGACTAAATGAAAACACAGTTAAAGGAATCCTTGCTGAAAGCTTTGCGACTCATGTGGGACTCACGTGTTGCCTTGCTGAGTTTTCAGTATTGGAGATTTGCCGGCCTAAAAGGCCACTGGAGGCCACCTGTGTTCTGCCAAGAGGAGAGGGACGTTGGCCAGGCTCAGCGCTTGCAGCAAGTCCAAGGACAGCGTGGAGGGCAAAGGGGCAGTCGAGCCGTCTGAGCGCATATCTGGAGTAGCCAATGCAAATTTGCACTTCTTTGGACTGGAGCCTCCTTCAGTGCTCGCTAACATCCTTCCACGACCTTCAGGGGTGCAGCCTTAAAACCAACCAGCCAGGAATGCTAGCTTGGCCTGCCGGAAGGTGTCCCACGAGGGATGTGTCCCGATCGGAGGCGACGCTGACTTCTGCTGAATTCAGTGGGACTTTCTCCTAGGCTGCTAGACTGGATAATGCAACCTCATTGGATGCATGGTGTGTGGGGGGGCTTGAGCCTCCCTGGGTTTTCCTGGCATGCTGCACCCTGTGCTGTCACTCTGGCCCTTCCAGTTTTCAGAGCCTGCCTCTCTTGCCAGCGCCGTTCAGCTGCCAGGTCCTCAGTTACTGGGAAACGGTTGCAAAAGAAGCAGCTGGGTGCGTGTCCATGGCTGGGGCGTGCCGGCCCTCTCCCCCTGCACTGTGGGTGAGCCGGGACGGAGCATTACAAGACCTGCATTACAAGCATTACAAGCTGACTGCAAGTACCGTGGAAGCCAGTCAGTTCCTGGAGCAGCAGCTGATGGAAGAATCTTGCCGTCCCTCCATCCAGCAGCCAAGGACGGGCAGTTCTTGGAATTAATTGTGGCGCATGACTTAGAGGAAAGATGAATACAGAGGACTGATTTTGCCCGAGCCAGGGCCAGTCCAACTTGGACAAGGAGTGCGGAAGCCTCTGGTATTCGGGGTGGTGGAATTCAAGAGGCCCCAGGCGACTCCCTCAGGAATGTGTCCCCAGGTGGGGAGGTCGGCCTGCAGGCGCAATGTACGCACTGCACGATAAACAAGCCGAGCCGTCGCTGTGGCCACTTCCTCTAGAGCCCCCGGGGGATTTTGCTCTAGGAAAGGCACCAGGCCTTCTTGGAACGATCTCTGGCCACTGTCCTACTCCTCGCGCGCAGAGTGCCTGGCCCTTAAGTCCAAGGGCTTTCCACTGTGTGGATGCATAAATACATGTGTATTCATTTAAAATGTTGGAAGTCGACCCGAGGCTTATGCGAATGGGACGGCATGCAAAAATTCCAAATAAATAAATGCCTTTCACTAGCCACCACAGCTTTTAATCATACGCCAAAGTCATTCGCAAGGTCCAAGGTCCACCCTTGCCTTGCATGTTCCTTGGAGAAAGTGATGCCAGCTCACCGCCTGCAATATTTCTATGCGCTCCCAGGCAAAATGATGCCCCCAGGGCGGCTTCGAAAGATTAATAATGGAAGATGTGACATAAAGGAGGTTGGAAGGGAGGAAGGAGTGGCAACGGGCCACACTCTGGCCCCAGTTCTTTGCGCCAGTCCAGCAGCTCTCCCTGCACTGGGTGATGTGTAGGGTTTGGATTGTCTCCCCCTTTGCAGGGGAGGGAGTACCGCCTCCCTCGGTTCCCTGGTGATCTGCCCCAAATCAGGAGACCTTTTGGTGTTGCGTCCCACCTCGGGGCACCTGCTGGCAGCGAGCCCCATCCACCCCCTTCCTTGTGGGCACCACAAATCCCGAGGTTCGTTCCTCCGCCTCAGTTTCCCGAGCCCTGCAGCAGCACCATTGGAATCTCCTGCCTGCAGGGATGGCTTTGTGCATCGACTCACCCGCTGAGGAAGCCTGACCGGCTGCCCGGAGTCCACAGGGCCTGGCAAAGCAGGTGGAGGCCCCCTCCCCCACAGAGCCACCTCCCTCCTGTGCCTGCTTCTTGTCATACAGGGCCCACCACAAGCTTTCGAGGGGCCCGGGGTCTCCCCGTGCAGGTTGCAAACGCGCTGCTCTCCGGAGCTGTGGCCTGGCCTGGCCTGGCCTGGCTGAATACTGGCCCCTGGTGGCATCGTTTTGCCAGCGTGCGGCTGGTTCTGAGCACGGCAGGGGTTGAGAGTGGGGCCCACTGAAAGCGCAGGCGGCAGAGAAGCCGTGCGAGGGGATCGGGGAGCCGCGAGGCCATCTGGGGACAGCAGAGGAGGAGGAATGGAATTTGTGTGTTGTGAGGAGGGCATCATCCAACAGAAATGCTTGGTCATCTCTGGCTGGCTGTCAGGTAATATGCAAGCTGTTGAATGTTATGGGTGGTGAGGGCATGTTGTTTTTCAAAGCTTCTGCTCCCCACCCCCATGGCAGATTCAAGAGGCCAGACTTTTGTCCTTTTAGATGAACTGTTTACAAAGAGGACATGTGGGGAATAGCTGGCCTGTTTTACAGGATCTGCTATGGAAGAACATGGATTCCTGGACATGGTGCCTTTAGAAACATCGAAACTGAGCAAGTCAGAAGGGTCCTCCTGTGCCATCTAGTCTGACCCCTGCCTCCAGCCACTCCACTCACGACATGCCTACCATGTGCATGTCCGGTCTATCCTTAATCACCCTCATCAGTGGGGCTTCAACCACCTCCTATGGAAGCCCATGTATAAATGTGCAGAATCCAGTTTCTAGCCCTCATGAG